TAGCTGTGTTCTCTGCTTCAGCACACCTGATTTTAATCAGCAGGTGATTAACAAGCTTCTGCAGAGCTTGATGTGCTGAGGAACAGGAGAATCAAGTGTGTTGGGTTATGAAAATAACTAAAACATGCCAGATAACAGCCTTTGGAAAAGGGAGTTGGGGTTTACTGCACTAGGTGCACCTCAACACTTTATTCACTGCCCCCTTGTGCCACTGACATTTGACTTTTATGCTCATTCTTATACTTCTTTGTTGATACCTTAAAACTTTTAAATCCTTATTTACTTTTTATATTTATTCACTTTAATTTTCTTTACCTGTACTACAAAGAAGGGAAACAGCATTTTGATTAATATGTAAGTCCTGAACATATTTTGAACAAACAGTAAGACTATTTCAATTGATCTTTATTGTCTGATTAAAAAGTTTTTTTTTCCTGTGTGATGCACTCTTGGTTTTAATTATAGCTGACTCTGGATCTGCTTTAGGGCTGGGTGATATGGACCAACACTTATATCTCGATATCTTTTAGCTGAATTTTGATATACGATATATATCTCGATATTTACCCCCATAAATGATTTACAAGTTAACTCACTTCAAGCTGTCTTGAGAAATTATATACATAAATCAGTAGATTAAATGCATAAGAATGAATTAGTTCTTGTCAAACTTTAACCTTTATGCCTATTCTCTACCAGTTTGAGCTTTAGACACACTGGTACAGCTGTCTGCTAATACACACACACACAGTTGAGAGCTAGAGGTGTATCAAATGCGCCACAGGCACTTTTTAATTATATATTATAATCAATGTAAAATTATTTAAATTTCATCTAGAGGTGGGCCATATTGTTTATTTCTTGTCCAGAGGAAAAAAAATGATGATGTAATTGCATCTACTGAAGATCACATGGGTCATGCACCGTGGAGTTTTTTGTTATCAGGGCAAACATGGCTGGAGTCTAACAGTATTTACTCATATCAGCGATTATACTGTAATGACTCAGAGTCTCTGGTTGCTCTTTCATGATTATTATTTTCAGGCTACTTTCGCCGTAACCCATGCCTTACAAACTCTTCACTTTTTCAACAAAATTGCTCGTAACAGAGTATTTACTAGCATAGCAAACAAGAGCAGAAAAAAAACGGAACTGGAACAACATTTCTCACCCATTGAGCTCGCCTTCAAAATAAAACATTAACTCTATAGTTTACTATTCAAATCCTTACAATACGTTTGAGGTCATTTCGCCACTCTGGCTATCAGTAGATGTTTCCTGATTACACAGGGGAGGGAGGGGTTTGGCTCATCTTTCCGCACAAGCAGGATGGATAAACAGAACTCTGTTGGCGTTGAACGTCCCTAAATAATTAAAAACCACGACGCCAAATGCAATGTTCAGAGCAGCACATTTACCCAGAGGCTCTCAGATTGAGCAAACTTGTGAGAATACATGTAATAGCCACTTAGAAACAAAGCAACATGTCACAAGCGTAGCGGCTAATTGCTAGCATAGTGGCTAATCGCTAACATAGCGGCTAATCGCTAGCATAGCAGTTTGACCAGTTATATCGGTACAAAGATTTGAAGTCATCTTGTATCTGGTTTAAAAATTATATTGGTATTTTAAAAATATCGGTATATCGCCCAGCCCTAACCTGCTTGAAGAGATTCGCTTCAGTTTTGTCACTTTAGGTGTTCAACAAGGCTTAGTGCTTGGAAACCCTTTCCTTTGCTAAATAAAACAACCTCTTTTTGCCTGTCTGCTTCTTGAATTTCTGATTTCTGCTTCTTTCAATATCTGATTGTAATATCAAAACAAGTTAAAATAATAAATGCAAACAACGGATTTTTTTTATTATATCTTCCAATCAAAGCACTAAAGTTTTCTCTAGCTATATTTTAGGGACATTTTGAGAAACACAAGTTATCTGATTGGCACTTGGTTGTTTCTCTTCCACTGTTAAAACATTTTCTCTTGTCATGTGGTGTTAAACATTTTCAACATGAGAATCTAAGTGATCTACCCACAGAATAATATTATCTCTCACTTCAAATAAAGCAATGGTCTTCTCACAGACATTATAGCATGAATATTACATATCTACAGATGTTTCAGAAAAGGGTTGCCTCTACTGGCTACCAGATGTTGCCAGAAGCAAATTAAATTCAACGCTTGTGTAAGATCAACTTTTCGATGTGTAAACCCAGCTGTCTAAGCTAAGCCAGACAGGCTGCTCTTTCTTGAATGCTGGGTTTCTTTCCGTAAGTTTGCATGGTTCCACCATCTTTACGCACAAAGATGTGTCAGTCTGGAGTTTTATTTGTTGTGGAACGTGCTCTATGCTTTTAGGGCCAGGACATTCCTTTCTACCAAGAATTCCCCAAAGGTTTATCTTGTCATAACTGCTTCTTAAACTGGACCTTTAAAGCACCTTTGGACTGGGCTAGGAACATTTATAGTAACCTAAGAAAATTACTAGTAAAAAAAAACTGTTTATTTGCTAGTTTGTTTGTTTGTTTTACCCCAGACACTTGGTTGTCCTCAGCATTAGGGTCAATGCATGTATATATATATATATATTTTTTTTTTTTAAATCATTTTCTGTTCTGTTGCATTTTGTTTATAGGTAAAAGTTATGTGCTTTATGAAATCTGTCTTTGGAAAATTGGTTAAAATATTTTAAAGGAGGCGTCTCTAAGCAACTCACAAGCTAATCTTTGATTTTCCTAAATGCTGAGTTCATAGTGAATGTGTCATGTCCTGTGTCCTTTCCATATCCCCTCTCCCTGGCCTCCTGCAGCATCCATTTAGTTTCTCCTCGTGTGTCCTTCACCCTTGACCCTTGTATTCTAGATGTGTTGTGCCCTTAGATTTATTCATTCAGCCTTACTAGGGTTAGGGTTAGTCCAAGGCATCAAGGTGAGGTTCCTTGTCATTGAGAAACCTGCTTGCTTCCTCGTGTATTTATGTTCTTGTTCCTGCTCCACACCACTTCTTTAAAATACACTTTTGGATTTTTGAACCATCCTGATTGCCTCCTGGATTTACCTGCATTTTGGGACCTGCTACAACATCCAACAATTTCGTGACGGAATGAAGGCTTTCAGGTCATTCTCCACCATCTCGTTCCCCTCTGTGAAACTTAGAGGACACAGTGGATATTGAGCATAGATGTGAAACCTCTTGGACAAATTTAGAGGATTAATATGTTTACATTACTCCATAAATGGAACAGAAGCTGTAGTTGAGATGTAGATTGGCAAGCAGGTTCTTTTTTTTTTTTTGCAAGTTACTAATGAAATGATAAATATTATTTACATTAAGAGCAGTGCTGACCAGTGCAAACAACCAGAAAAGTTTCACCCAACTGCGCAACAAATATTTCTCTCCCATTTATAAACAAATTTCAATAATTTCTTCAGATTTTTTTTTTCAGTTCAGACTTCAAACTCAAAATTTTCTCACTGTTTCTTTTATCAAAATAAAGTTTCATTGTTTTTGTTAATAAAGTTTATTGAAACCTAAAGTGAGGTACCAGCCACAAAACATCTGCTAAACATGTTACTGAAGCAGGGTATGCAAAGTACAGCTTAAATTTTAAGTAAAAAAAAAACTGATCATTAATTATTTCATATGCTTTTTATTTTATTTTTTAAAATGTCATTTATCTTTATTATTATTATTATTATTATTATTATTATTATTATTATTATTATTATTATTATGGGTTGTTGTTGCTGTGGTGGTGATTGTTGTTATTAATAATTTTATGGAATATATTTAACTTTCTCTAAGACCTTAAAAGGCCATGATAGTTCCACTTTGGCACGCACACGAATGTATGTGTGTTTGTGTGTGTGTGTGTGTGTGAGTGTGTGTGTGTGTGCACTTCTGTCTCTCTTTGAAGTTTCAAAGTCCTCCCACCTCTCTGCAACTCTACATTGTGCAGAACAGCTCCATTTATCCCACCTTAATCCCTCAATGTAAATGTGCATAAATCATGCAGAGCTGTTTCTAACGGTATAAAGATCGTCCTTCTGCTTTCCTTCATGTACAAATAGTTTTGGGGTTCTGGATTATTTACAGTTTTTTTTTTTGCTTCGCCTTACCCAAAACAAAAAGATTCCAAGTGTGGTTTAAGAATAAAAGTTTCAAAAAGAAGCGAGAGTGTCAAAGTAGTAGTAGTCAAAATAGCAACATTTAAATAAAAAAGGAGGCAGCTGAGCCATGTTTTGTACATGAGGTGCTGATTGTGCAGGTGCTAGAGGTTCATTCAGGGACCATTTTCTATTCCTGTTGCATATTCTGACATTAATCCAGCCAGCATTTTGTCCGAGTCACAGAGCAGCATCTCAGAGTCCACAGAGCTTGTAGGCGAACCTCCTTTTATCGACAGCTTTGGGCCAGATTAAAGTGCCGGGGCTCATTGTTTACACAGCTCTCTGGTGCCATGGCTGAGCAGGCCCAAACAATGGGCCTCTGCTCCCCTTTGTCAGAATGAGAGGAAGAATGGAGACCTCTTGACATGGCAACCTGAAGCCTCAATGCCCCCACTTCACCTAACTGAGAGGGTCACATCGAGAAAGAGCGGAAAGTGGAGTAGAGGGGAAGTGAAAGACAAGTAAAGAGGAGAAAATGGAGAGATCCTAATAGAAAGAGGGGAATAAAGGCTTAATATGATAGGGATGGATGAAAGGTAATCAGGGAAATAGGTGATAAAGTCAAATAGATGAAGAAGTTTAGAATTTTTTTTGTTGCGTTTTAACCCGAACGTGGTCAGACCGGCTCATGCTGAACTCATCAAACAGAGAAACAAGTACAACCAAGTTTTAAACACCAATATAAAAAGGAAACAATGTCCTTGTCCCCCTTTGTTTCCATCCCTGTGATGCTATTTTGGATTAATATTAAATGTCCTGTTTCCATTACCTTGTAACAGATTCTCATTAGAAATGGAGAATGGGACTCATCCGTTTAAATTTTCTTGGCTGCAGGTCATTTTCTTGGCAACAACACAGTCATCGATGTCCTTCGTCGCCAAGGTTACGATGTGGAGCACACCCCTGCAGGACAGCCCATAAGAAGGTAATTTCACTGATGAAATGTCTTAAAACACACGCTCTAGATCAGAGCTATTCAGTTCCGGGCCTCGATTAGATTCAGGGGTTGAATCACCTGTGCAGCAACCCATCAGGCTCAGCAGAATCATGTTAATCACCCACTGACTGAAATCAGGTGTGTGGAAGCAGGGTTAAAACCAAAACGTGCTGGATGCCAACACTCGACGCCGGGAATTGAGTAGCCCTGCTCTAGATCCTTTAGTTGGACGTCAACACTGCCAGGCAAGGGTGACATTTGCTTTGATCCATTCACCTCAAGATCCTCGAAGATCTGATATTTTGGTGCATTTGTCAAACACTTTTCTGGATGTTAATGTTAAACAGCAAAAAATTCTATTTAAATCCAACAACTGAGATCCAAGATACCATCTGTTTTTTTCTAACAGATGCTGGTACAATGGACTATCTCTAAACCAGATCTCATGTTTACATTTTTCAGTTTCAGCAAACAAAATGTCTCGTGACGCCTTTCATTTTTACACATCTTGGACTGCTTCCATATTACAGATAGAACAGCTGATAAGTGGAGAGAAAATCCCAGATGGCCACCAATGAAGTAGTGCTGAAAAGACTAACTTAAGTATGGGCCATACCTCCCGCTGAGGAGCATGTAGGACAGCCGATGGACCATGAAACGCCGCGGGTGGCTATCTTGGTTTTGATCTGTGTTCTTGTTCCTGTTGGTGAGCGAAGGAAGGAGTGAATCACCTTTCACACACTAACCCATGGTTGGATATGGCATTGTGAGCTGGCATTTACTGTATATTTACACTTTTTAAGGGTTAACACAATCAGAGCTTGAAACTGAATCTTGCTGATCAACATTCAACATTTGGTTGGCATCTGTTTTTTTTTTTGTGACGTATAATTAACATCAGCTGGAACTGGTCTTGTCTCCTCCATTCAGGAACTTCCTCCTCTTTTGTTGAGGCTTTATCTGATTTTGCACCTTCATTCATTAAGCACCTAACACGCACGAAACATGCCACCGAGGTGCTGTACAGAGAGAAAATAAAACAGATAAACCAACATAAACAGTTAAAAGTCAAAACTACAACATAAGAGCACATAAAATATCAGCAGCAGCTAGCCCATGGGTTGCCAGGCTGATGTAAATGTTAGAAAAAGAGAACTTCCTTCCTGGAAGGGTGTGTCTGTTTTTAAGCTTCTCCAGCAGGTTCCAGGAAAAGGGAGAATACATGACAGAAATGTTAAATTTTAAAGTCATTTTGTTGTATCGATGTGTCTTTAAAGTACATTCTAGTCAAAGAATCAGAAGCAACATTTCACAAACTACTGATCAAACCTATTACAGTTTTTCTCAATTGTTTTTACCCATTTTCTGAAAGCATGCCTCATATTCTCAGAACTCTACACACAAATCCAAAAAAACACACACAATGGACAAAACCTGCAAAATGAAACTTCACAGTCAAAACAATGTTATTTCTCCTCACAATGTGATTTTGTTGTCAAATGACACACAAACCATCATATGAATAGATATTTATAAGAACCAGCAGAACACTTATGTGCTCAATGTAAAACACTATGATGAATGGAAAGCACTTCTCCATTCATCATAATGACTAAAGCCTTTTTGGTTCAGTGTTACACCTACTACAGACAGTATATACATACATGTGTTGTAAAATATTTCAGAATATTGTTTTTACACTGAACACACAAATACATGGTTAAAATTATTTTATTTTTCCCACAAAACATTGTACACAATGTATATCCCATTCCCAACCAACACAAAGTTGCACACACAAACAACATACAACAGAAGAATTTACTGTATACAGTTACAGTAAAAAAGAAAACTATGCTGCATCCTCTCTTCTGTTGCGGTCTGGCCACAGCACCTCATCCACATCACATACATTGTTGTCCCTGGCCAAGCAGCGGGGGAAATATCTCCTAGCATGGCGATTCCAGCCATGAAAAGAATCAGCTGCTATATCTCCACATGCATCCTCCATAGCTTGGAGAAGAGGTATACGGGTTTGTGGCTGTCGGTCATACACCTTCCATCTCCAGGCAGAAAAAAATTCCTCAGTGGGATTGAGGAATGGAGAATATGGAGGGAGATAAACAACTAAAAAGCGTGGGTGGCCAGTGAACCAGTTACAAACCACAGCAGCCCGGTAGAAACTTACGTTGTCCTGAATGACAACGTACCTGGGCTGTTCTGGACCATCTACCTGGTCTGGTGGAATGAGTGTGTTGTGTAGGGTGTCCAGGAATGTGATTAGATGAGCGGAGTTGTAGGGGCCAAGTGTAGCATGGTGATGGATGATGCCATGGTAGCTAAGCGCTGCACACATTGTGATGTTCCCTTACTCTCACTCCTCAGGCTCTGTCTCTGTTTCTAATGTTGACATCCATTGCTCCAAAACAGAAGAGCTCACATGTTGCCCTTTTATGCTAAAGCTCTGATTGCTGATTGTAAAACTGTGTGACGGGTGTTTGCCCTTGTGATGAGTCAGTGTGCATGTTTGAATAGCAGTGTGTTCCTTGTGAAAGCAAGATATTTTCTGAATGAACATTGTGCCAACAGCAGAGAATTGTGTGTAGTGTTTTGAAAAAAGTCTGTTTTAGATTTGCAATTTGAGTTCAAAGCAGGAATTGTGCTTGTAGTTTAGCAGAATTGGTTAAGGAGGTTGGTGAATTGGTTACATGTTGTGGTCATTGTGTCTCAAGTACCAGAAAATGTGTGTAAACAATTGAGAAAAACTGTAAGAGATGTTATGGTTACATGAACCAACCATTTTCAGGACTTTTTAATCCCTAAAATAGTGTTTATTAAAGGGCCTTGAAATTTAGACAACAAAAAAAGAAGATCTTGAGATTTGCTATTATGGTCTATATCAGTGGTACTCACTCCTGGTCCTGGAGAGCCGGTATACAGCATGTTTTCCTTGTTTCTCTACTTCAACACACCCAATTCGGTGGTTGTCACCTGTGCAGCAGCTCTTCAGGCTCTTCAGAAGCCTGTTAAGCCGGGCGTACACTGTGTGACTTTTTCACTCGTAGCACTCCGCTTCAGCTCAAACTGTACGACTTCCTCGCAGGGCAGATCTCACGAGCCAGGCGCTCACACTGTACGACCCAGTTCTCGGATGCGACCTGACTGCTCACACTGTACGTTTGGTAGCAACACGTCGGACCTAAAAATATGTTAAAAATAGCAGTTTTTACACAACACGTCAGACGTTTTGGTCTTGTTTTGCCTGTTGTCCTTCAGGAGCGCTGCAGGAGGATACACAGGGATTTATGGGGGTTGGATGAGGAAAACGAAATAAAGAAAGTAAATCTGTGTTTTGTGATCAGTTTAATTTGACATGAACACGACAAACACGCTTTCTTGACAATCTTTGTGAGTAAAAAAACGTGTAGAAATTAAAACGATTATTAGGGAAATAGCGGGCGAGTGGTGTTGATGCAGGATTGCGCATGCGCCGTGAGCGGTTCTGATACATTTTGGGTCACAGCTGCTCGCAGCGCCGCTTCAACAGTGCGATACCCTCACGAGGGATGAGCGAAATTTTAAACACGCCAGAAGTCCGTGCGACCTCACGACTGCTGATCGGCAGCTGGTCACGTGGTGTTAATCGCCTCTCGTAACCCCCTGTACACTACACGACCGCTCGGCGCAAAACTCGCCCCGATGTCGTGGATTCTCGCACGACTGGAAAATCGGCTCAAAAGAAGTAAAAAAAGTCACACAGTGTACGCCCGGCTTTAGTCACCTGCTGATTGAAATCAGGTGTGTTGAAGCAGAGCTAGAACAAAAACATGCTGGATACCGGCCCTCCAGGACCAGGAGTGAGTATCACTGATCTATATATTTTTTAAGAATTGCTACATTTAATATCAGTACCTTTTCACAATAAAGCCACTTCCACATCTGGCCCGGCTCAGTCTGGTCCGGGCTGGGTGGTGTCAGTCCGGGTCCTGCACCGATATAGTTTGTTCACACACACTTCTTGGGAATGCGGAAATCTTCGAGCTTGTGGGCGGGGCAAAAGTTAAAGAACGGCGGACATGAGTAGTGTTGCTTGTGGAGACTGATATTGCTTCCAAACCGCTGTGTCTGTACTTGCATGCGCACACACGCGTGTTTGTGTGTGTGTGCGTGTGTGTGTGTGTGTGTGTGTGTGTGTGTGTGTGTGTGTGTGTGTGTGTGTGTGTGTGTGTGTGTGTGGGCACAGCACATCTCAGTCAGAGAGACGGCTTAAGTCAGAGGAGATGTTTACTCTTCAGTATTCAGAATGATAATGAATTGCACATGCTAATTTTGACTCACCAATCGGAGGCTTTTCCTTATGGTAGATGTGAATTTGAACCGGGCAATCAGTCAGCAGTTGGTGTGTTGGGTCAGTTCATCCCGAAGCAGCCCGCCTGGGAATGAGGGTTGAAAAACATGGAAAAAACCAGGCTACCCAGATGTGAACCATACGTGGGCGGGACCAGGCCGGACCAGAAACTAGATCTGTTCCTCTATATATTTAGTATAGATTTGCTATCTGAAGCATTCCAGATTGAGTTATTACCATCATTATAAATATGCACAACTACCAAATCGAACCTTATTGTCAAGTGTAGATATTTGGCCTCATTCGAGTTTTCAAACCACAACTCTCAACCATTCATTTAGAACTAAAGATGGATTTCTGATGAGAGGTGAAGCGATATCATGAACAAGTAAACCACCTTTAGTTCCCTTTTCCAGTAGAGTATTCCATTAGATGGTCGACATGCACTATTTTACGAAGGATATGAACATTTTATGGATTTGGATATCAGTTTGGCAAGCTGCCTCACCTCACCAACAATTGTATAAATAACAATATGAACAATGGTGCACCATTCATGTTCATTTGACAACATGTAATAAACACATTTAGACTTGTTACATGAACTTCCCCCCTGGAAGCAGTTCCACTTTTATTTCTCGTTTGGAATCATCTCCTTTCATGTGTCCTCCAGGAGATTATCTTCCAGACCTGCTTCTCCAGTGTTGGAGGACCACCACGATGAATCCCCTCTCCTGGAGCCTTTCCTCCATGAGCTCCCACACAAGGCTGAGGATGAGGGGCATCGCCAGGAGGAGGATCTTTTACCACACATGCTCCTTCCACCAGATAGCTTGGATCTGCTGGAGAAAGCTCAAAGGAAAATGCTGAAAAAAAAGAGGCGAAATAAGCAGAAGAAACAACGGAACCGACACTTTAATGACCTCTGGGTGCGCATAGAGGAGAGGTAAGAAAACGAGATGCGAGATCTTGCCGAAATTCATAAATAACATTGAAGAACATGATAAAGACAAAGGAGGGGTAACTTGAAATGCTTATCATTTGCTTGGCTCTGGATTAAAACTGACACTTCCTGGTGGGTCGCCTGAGGCTCAAACAGTCACCATATCAAATCACCAAACTCCTCTTGCAGTTGTAACACACACACTTTTCCATTTTGCATTGCAGTATGAGTCCAGACTAGCTCCTAGCTGTTCTAACTGATGGGTTTGAAAATAGCAACCTGATAAATCCCACTAAGAATCCAGCTTTGCTCTTACAATAGCTCGAGGCAGGAGCCAGGTGAATAACAAAACAAGCTCACCTTTTAGACAAAAGGAAGGCCAGTGCCTTGATAGAAATGTCTCTCTGTATTTTGTAACAGCGAGATTTTGTTTTCTTGGTAACTGCCCACCTTTAGAGGAAGAAGAGTTGTCAGGATGACTAAAGGACTTTGTTCTTCCATCTTCTACAGTCGATTTTCACTTATGAAAATCGTTTTGCTTGATCAGGATGTCTCAGCATTTAATGGGCTGTCTCAAGGACAGTAAATAGCTCACATTCATTCCCACCTATGGGCAATTCAGGGCTTCCAGTTTCATTTGTGGTACATGAAGTGGAATTGTAGATTAGAACAACCTGAGGAGGAGCAAAAGAGAGGAGCATGTAAAAGTCACACTGAAAGAACATGTGGGAGAAAGACTTATTATGGGTCATTTTCTCATTGAGTTTTGAAGGAAATCATTTAATTCTTCAATTTACCATCATTTATCACAGGATGGAAGCCTAGGATGTAAATGACCTAATCTTGTATAGGGCCTTCTTCAGTGAGAGGACTCCAAATTGCTTTACAGCCCAAAAGAACTGAGGTACCTCAAAGTCCTTCCAAGTCAGAGGAAGCGTATAAGACCTTCAGCAAACTGTGGGTCTTTCGGCTCCTATTATCTGACAGCAGATTTTATTCATATAAGACCTTTAGCCTCTGAGTGAACATGCAAGTTTTTTTTATGAAATGTGCATAATTTCTAATTAGTGATGGAAATGAAAATCCACCCAAGTAATTTGTTCCTAAAGAGAACAGAGGAGGTTTGTGATCGTTTGTGTACATTATGTCTGCAGAAATGTTTTCTGTCTTTCTGCAAGGCGCTGTTTTAAACAGAAAGGAAACAGACTGTTTGGGTGATCATGCTACGGAGTGCACTGGCTGGATGTCTTTGTGTGTTTTAATGTCTGGAAGGGCGGCCAAGTCCAGAGAAGCCAAAGCAGTGCCATGATTCTGGGTTATACTTAATGCATGGCCACACAGGTGCTTTAGTTTACATAGAGTCACTTCATAAGAGTTGTCTTTCTGCTTCAGTCACGTGGTTTAGCACAATTTTCTTTTTAAATGTCAGTTATGTCCAAAGTAGTGTGGTGTGTGGCCGTCAGCCAGTAACCCTTGGAAAAGATCCATGACGTCACTGTGAATTAAATTTAGAAAGTGAGAAAATTAAAAGTCTGGTTAAAGACTGTTTTAAATATTCAACTGTTGTTTCTGGATCAGTGTGGTCCTATAGCATTTCTGTAACACCAAATATATAATCAGAGAAAATTGGCAGGCACACAATGTAGACTTTTTGGTAACCCTAACCCATCATATTAATACAACATTTTTTAGATCATTTTATTTTTACATTCTCAGGTACATTTAAATGTATCCACTTTATTCACATTTAATTACATGATAAAGTCCTTCCTTATTATATGTGGCAAGGAGGGCCCGGGCAAATATTTAGGCTGTCTTGATCAATAGTCCTGGAATTTTTTTTCCCACTTTATTTAAGACATGTCCATCTCTGCTTTAAATAATTTAGACTATTTTGTCCTCCGTCTTCCTCATTTTTAATGTTGTTATGATCAAATGCAAGGACTGGACAGGAAATGAGTCAAAACTCAAGCTAAGTCTAAAAAGCTTGAGCTTCTACAAAGCACAAAGAAATAAAGGGTGGATTAAAACTTTTGCTCAGTACTTTCTCTATAGCATGTGTTGTTTCTTCTAATGAATTTTGTTACAAAGTTGTAATTTTCACACTTTTTCCTCATTTCCCCTTTTAGCTCTATGGTGCAATCTCCGCCTCCCCCGCTGGTTCGCATCATCAACGGTTACATCACAGTGCAGCCTCCAAATAAAGTCCACAACCATCATCCCACCACGTCTGCGGCACACATCTCTTCCTCACCAGTTTTACTCATCTTCCTCCCCACATTGTTAAACGTGATCCCACACATCAGGACTGCAGTCCTCTAGCAGGAAATAGTTTGGGACGAGTCAGTCTTTTAACTTTAAACTCAGACAGATGATAGTTTTACATCATTCTGTGAAACCTGAAGAGGGGCTTCAAAACTTGTGGAGACATTCTGTTGGATTGTTTATTTCAGGAATGTTTGTTTGAATAAAGTTTGTTGTTGGAAGTGAAAGTGAACGGAGGCCTTGATGAGCAATAATAAACCAACATATCTTGTTGGAACACGTAGGTTTGAGTTTGATGAACACACAAAATAATAGGAGAAATAAGGAAAGGAAAAAAAGGCATGTTTTGTTCTGTTGTTGGGCTATTTTTACCATTTTGAAGTGTGTTTTTGTGTAAAAATCTAAAATGTAATCTCATCTAACACTTCCTGAAATTCCTCTGCTCATAGAAATCAAGCTAATGGCTAGTTCAGTTGCATCTGTAGTAAAATGTAAAACTTCTGTGTAATCAGGTCGCGTGGCTGCATGGAAGCTTTTGACACTGAAGCTAAAATTTCCAAAATCTTCCTAAAAACACACTTCAAAATGTTCTTTTTCCAGTGAAAGCAAACATAAGTTTTACTAAAACCAATGTTGATAAAAAAAATTTTTAAAACAACAACTTGAATCAGATTGTGTGTGTGTGCGTGCGTGCGTGCGTGTGTGTGATTGTCTCTCAGTCCTTACATCCTTTTATTCCAAACAGGAACGTATTTCAAAACGTAATTTATTATTTCATTTATAAACAACGTTTTTATGCTGCATTGGGAAAATTGGGGAAATTGTAAATACTGTTAAAAATGTTATAGATGTATTTTAGAATTGTAAAATGTATAATTATCAAATGCATTGTTGTTTATATAAATATATAAATAGACACGCAGCATATTTTTGGAAGAAAGAGGAATTAACCACCGTAGTCCGAGTCGGGTGTTTAACTGTAATTAAAGTTCTGATTGGAACATTTGATTGTATTTAACTCTTTTTTTTTATCAGTGTTATCATCTCGTGTTTTATTTCTGAATTTTATTTTTCATTATTATTGTGTATTTTTCACTACAAGGTTGCTTGTTTAAATTATTTAACTATCTTAGTTTTCTGTAAACCACATGGATCATTTAGTGGTTTTTTATAAATGCCATTTTTGTATTACAATATTCAAATGTGTATTTTTAAAAATATTTTGGTAATAGCCAAAAAGATGGTTTTAAATACAGAAAGATTTTTAAGGTAGTCAGTGTACAGCTTAGTATTTTAGGTCATTTATTTTTCATTCATGGCATGAATGATGAATGTAGCATTGATAATAAAATATTTATAAAGGTTCATATTTTTATTTATTTTTTTAGTTTTTTTAGGTTTTGCAGTCAACTTCTTCCCTTTTTATTTAGGAAGGTACACATTGGAATTTTTTGCTATGATGAGGAGTTTTTGGCTCTCTTGCTGTTATATCCTCTGTTTAGAGAATAGCTGAGACAAGACTTAAGACCAAAATGTGTTGTTGTCATCTTAAATCAGCTCCAGTTACAATTTTACATCATATTTATGGAACACAGATTTAAAAACGACACCTTTATAAATTCCACAAACCAGTTTTTTATTTTACAAATAATTCTATAGCTTAACCTGTAGTGGGAAATATTTTTAATGCAGGCAACCATATGAATCTCTCCCTGTATAAAGTCCCATTTCTGCCACTGATAAAAAAAAAGAAAATCTTGTATCTCATAAATGTTAAATACTTGTTTTATTTATTTATTTTATCAGAGTGGTAAAAAATGGGCTTCCATACATTTTTATAGGAATGGTTTGTTAAAGCTGCTGTAGAGAGCCTAAGTCTTCTTTTCTGGTCGGCTCATGGGTCTCTGGAAGAACGGATAAATCAATGCAAGCGAATAAGGCTAAAAGAGCTATTTTCTAATCTGCTTTACCTTACGCCCTGGATTGCACATGTGTTGTACTTTGAATTTAATTAAAAGTAATGATTCAAATGAAGTTATATGTTACAAATTATATACTGACGGCATCAAATAAGAATCTTGTGTCTGTCCTAGTCTTGTTATATCTCAGTGCTGCTTTTGAGACAGTCGATCACATTATTGTTCCTTTAGAAAGGCTTTGACCACATTGTAGGGATCAAAGGAACTACACTATGCTGGTTTAAATCCTACCTGTCTGACAGATTTAATTTTGTTAATGTACATGGCAAATCTTTATACTCTAGGGTTACTTGTGGAGTACCACAGAGTTCAGTGCTTGGGCCAATTCCTTTTACCATATGCTTCCAATTGGTAAAATCATTAAGCTTGCCGCATACGAGAGCAATCTGCTGAGCAAACGGCCTCGAATGACCGTTTGCTCAGCATATTGCTCGCTGTGTGTGCCTGATTTTCACAGAGTTTTCCGCCTCATGAGACGCTGAGCCGAAAATCTGACCAGTCAAATATTTTCCGCCTCACGGGGGGTAGAAACTCACCGTATGCGCACTATGTGAGCTGCTGGCTGAGCTGGGCTATTCTAGTGGCCAATCAAAGCGAGTTCTCTGATCACATGATTCCAAGATGGCAGCCCCCTGTCTGCATGTCGTGTGTGGCAGGCTTTAGACAGCATGGGATAAACTTCCACTGTTTTGCTGATGATACTCAGTTATATTTATTCATAAACCCTGATAAACCTAAGTAGATTACAGTCTTGTATTGAAGACATAAAAAATTGGATGACTGTAATCTTGTTGCTTTTAAATCAAGAGACGACTGAAGTTCTCAGCTTTGGACCAGAACTTCAGAAAAGAAAACTGCTTAGTCAATCACCTGATCTCAATGGCATTAAATTAGTCTCTGAGAACAATGTAAGGAACCTTGGTGTTGTCTTTGACCATGACATGTCATTCACATCCCATGTTAAACAGTTAAAAAAGTGAGTCTTCAGGTGAGTTTTAAACACAGTAAGATTGGAAGCATCTGCCTGTTAAATTCAGAATACATTTTAAGATCCTCCTTCTCACATATAAAGCTCTTAATAGTCAAGCTACATCATACATCACTGATCTGATTGTTCCATATGTTCCTAACAGAGCACTTCACTCTCAGACTGCAGGTTTACTGGTGGCTCCCAGAATATCTTAAAATAGAATGGGAAGCAGATCTTTTAGCTATCAGGCTCCTCTATTGTGGAACCAGCTCCCAGCATTAGTCCGTGAGGCTGACACCTTGTCAACTTTTAAGATTAGGCTTGAAACATTTTCATTTGATAGGGCCAATGGTTAAAATAGGATGTTAGCCCAGATCTGGACAAGTGGGGGAGTAGAGGGAGGTGGAGTGTGCAGTCGGCAAAGAGAGCTCTCCCTTGCCCTGCCTCCAACATGCCTCCATCTAAAAAGGCTAGGTTATCTCTGTAGTTATGCTGCTATAGGCTTAGACTGCTGGAGAACATACTGACCACTTTCCACACACTACTGCTTTCTTCTACAATTTCTCTCGTAATTGCATTAATTCTTGCTATTTATTGTTTTTCTCCCTAGAAGAAGCTACAATGGTGTTCTGCTGAGCTGTGGTAGCCTCATGGAGGGTGGCATTGGCTGGTACACTGCTGCTAACCACTAAACATTCTCCCTCTGCTGATAATATTTTACTCTCTCTGACATGGGATGTGCTGCTACTAGTTTACCTGTTGAGTTAGTTATAGATTCATTAAGATAAACTTAATCTCTTACTAAATGGTAAAAAAAAGGCATGTATTTGAAATGGTGCCTTCTAGAGTCCTGGAACCCCCCAAGGCACTTTACAACACAATCAGTCATTCACCCATTCTGTCATGTTGGGTTGTAACTTTTTGTCCCATGACATGCAGAATCATACACAGAGACAGAAGGTAAGTAAAAAGGTTTATTTTTGTACGGTGGAGGTGGAGAGGAAGGTCAGAGTTCGGGTGGTTCCGGTGAGGTTCTAGAGCAGAGACAGGAGTGAGTAATTGCAGATTGACAGCGTAAGGGATATGAGTTTGTAGCTTACGGTTACCTGGTTGTTGGTAAAGGCTTAGATAGGGGGGCAAGTCACGGCTGGCTGAGCTGGTCGAGTGAAAGTCAGAAGTATGGCTGGGAGCTGAGCACCAGAGTTCAGGGATGTCCAGGTTGGCAGATGGGGGCTGGAGAGCAGGCAGTCAGGGGCGAGCGACGGGGCTGGCAGGCAGGGTTGGAATCCGGTGAGTCTATTTTCCCGATGATGAGGTTGGCTGGTGGAGGAGAAGTTCCTGAGGGGGTCGAAGGAGAACAGGACAGATAAGTTCAGGAAGGAGAGGTACACACGAGATAAAACAAACTTCTGATACTGGTAAGGTGCTGGCAAGAGTTCTAGCCAATGCTGAGTATCATCCGGCACTGACGAGTTGTCCCGACGCTCCTTAAATCCCCTGACCACTGATGAGCAGATAGGCAGCAGCTGCTCTCCAGGCACACCCACCTGCACACAGAAAAGACTCAGCTCAAAGAAGAGTTATACTCAGCACAGACCATGACACATTCACTCACATTCACACGCTGGTGGGGATGAGCTACGATGTAGCCACAGCTGCCCCGGGGCGCACTGACAGAGACAGTGGATAGGTGTGTGTGTGTGTGTGTGTGTGTGTGCGTGTGCGTGTGCGTGTGTGCGTGTGTGTGCGTGCTCTGTCTTCTCGATCCCTAGTGAGTTGTGGCAGATGGCTGCTTATACTGAGCCAGGATCCTCTGGAGGTTTCTTCCTGTTAAAAGGGAGTTTTCCTCTCCACTGTCGCTAAATGCTTGCTTAATATGAGGATTGCTGTAATGACTCTGACACTAGTCAGTGACTCGATGCAATCTGCTGGGTCCCTTAAATAGGAAACATTTTACTGATTGGCTTAATGAACTAACCTGTATTGGAATGTTTATCTTGTGAAGCACCATGGGACGACTCTTGCCGTGATTTGGAGCTAAATAAACTCAAAAGAAAATTGAATTAAATGTAACTGCACAAATTGCTGCCAAATTTTGTACACTGACGTTTAGCAGCACACCTGAGTTCGTTATGGTTCAATATCTAACTATTCAGAAAAATTACACGTTTTTAAAACTAATCATCTAAAATCCCATCTGATTACATTTCTCCATCTGGCACATTGATGTGACAAACATGAGGAGATTAATGAAATCAGACAAATGTTTTTCTTCAGGTCTTCTCACCACTATGATTTGTTGGTCAGATGTCTTTAACTGAGGTTAAGCTTGATAATAAATCATCACCTTGATTTTCTAATGTTGCATGTTGTTTTTCACTCCAGAACAAGTGTCCGACAATTAGTTGGCAAGATATCTGATTAAGCCTTGGTGCCAGAACGGCAGTTCTCAATCCTTTTACTATTTTCTGTAGAAAAAAAAGCTGCAGGTCAGATCCAGGTTTAGCATTTCATGTGATTTTTACTATTATTTTTCATGACTGCAGTAACTCGTGGTAGTCACTAGACTCCTGGAGTTCACGCCATTCGCTCTGCAACGTTTTCTAACAGTAAATGAGCTACAACATCTGTCAGCAAGAGCACTCAGCAGGAGGCAATTAGGGAGGGACCTGTATATTTCTTTGTTTGTTCTTTTAGAGGATGACTGAGTGACTTACATGCTCTGTTGTTTTTAAGAGTTTTGTGTTACATGGAGTCGAGCACACGTGTCATTTAGAATTGCACGCCGTTTTTAAGATGATGTGAGTTTAATGTTTTTCAGCAGCTGGAGTGAGTGCAGACGACTTAAACTATATGCATAAACTACCTTTTTGAACTTTCACAATCTCATGATGAAAGGTGCCAATGTTTAATCAGGCATTTAGCTTGACAGCAGCAAAAGGCCTGAAAATCAGTTTGTTTAAGATTGAAACTGATTAATCAGTGTGAGAGTTAGACTAAATCATAATAATAATAAATGGTCATTAGTGTTAGATTTGACTGGCCCAGCTGGTATTTGGTGATTGAGTAAAGAAAAAAACATTTTTGTTATAGAACACTTACCGTCAAACTTCTTTTCACACATGACCCTGCTTGCAAGTTTGACTGAAAATATCTGGTGTCTTATCACCTGTCATCATTTTGCATGCACATCTAGCCCCTCAGATCAAATAAAGAATAACAAGTCAATTAGCTGTCATTTCCTGTTGATCTAACAAATCGTTTACGCTCATTTTCAGTGCATCTAAGAGATCCCTCGCTGCTTCAGTTTCCTGTTTGTTTCTGTGTTTGTCTGCGGACAGCTGTCCAATTTTCAGACCACATACATAGATTAAACGACGTCCAACTTCTGCCCCATTAGAGGACAAGAACAACA